AAAAAACACCTAAACCCCAAACCAAAACTGGATGAAACCTTGAGATCCTTGTTATGAGTGCAAATACTTACAGGACTTTAGACAAAAACAAAACCCCCAGCCCTGTATTGTGGTGACTCGTGTGTGTTTGTGTGTGTCTGTTTAAAAATTATCCATTAGAAAATAGCTGTGAGAGAAACAGCAAAGGAGGCTCCCTCGGAGAGCTGGCTCACTGCCACATGAGGCATATTTCGTAGCCCTAAGGGCAGCAAAACCCTTATATCCAACTTCTGCTCCTCATATTAAAAAGGCGTAAACAAGGCAGCAGGTTGCCTCTTATGAATTTAATTCATTGGGATGGAGATTAATCAGAAGCAGATACTTGCTTGAAGGTGTTTCGTTTTGTTTTGATGATTATTAATGCCACTGGCTGACAGGGAATGGGAAACCGTTACTTTCCGTGACGGTCACTGAGAGTTCAGGATTGGAGAAGAAACTGTTACTTTTCATTGCGAGCACTTAAATGCTTAACAGAGGCTGCCCCTGATGTAGAGACAGGATATTGGTTCTCTAAAATACAATTTGGAAAGATTTTTCCAGATGACAGGTTTAGTTGTTTTTTTTATTTTTTTTTTCTCCCAGAAAGAGATATAGTGCAATATTATGCTAAAGATGAGGTGCTGAATGCTTGGATCTGCAATGTTCTCTGTTGTTTACTTATTGCTGTGGGATTGCTTAATGTATTTTATATAAACAGTTTTCAGGGATCTATAACTGACTATAAAGATGTGCTGTGTATTCAGATGTGGAAACTAAAGTAAGTTACAGGGGATATATTTCTTCTCTCACTGTGGTATAAGGAAAAATAATTCATAGGAATACAAATGCATTTGGAAGTTTGAGGCTTCTAACACTTATATTTACATTCTTGTAACTTAACAGCTTCCTTTAAAGTAGAAAGTGTGTATAAGAAGTCTTCAGCATTCGCTCATGCAATTAGTCGTGTTGAAAAATAAATAAATTCGTTTGTCTTTGTAGAAACATATTATGTATTTATGGTGGCTTTTTCCAGCTCAAATGTAATAAAAATATTTAGCACATATTTATGCACGGCTTCTGCTCTGACAAGATGGAATGCTTTTGGCAGTATATCGGGGTCAATAATCCCTGTGTCTAAAAAACACTGTCTAGATATTTGCATGATAGATTACCATGACTTCTCTGAAATAGTTACGATCTGTTGGGTCAATACTCCACATTTTAAGAAGACTCAGCCTGCTTATTTTTTCATGATTTAATCTGAAAGCAAGCCATTAAAATACAAGAGTGATTGAAACTTTATCCTCCACCCCTCTTTTTATTTCCATCCCTCCTTATTTTTGAATGAAAGTTTTTCTTTAAATTATGTGGAACTGCCAGTAAGCAAAATATTTTTGATATTGCTAAAGCACTGAAATAAAGTAACTAGGCTAGCAGTTTCCAGAATGATGTTCCTTTCGTCCTTTCTTTTAATATTGCAGGTGTGTTGTGTGAGTAATTTTGTACAGATAGTTGCTGACTGAAGAGCTAATGCTGCTCACGTAGTCTTATCTTGAAGTCTGAGAAAGAAAGTTTTAGGAATGCACTATTTTCAGCACCCAGATTTCATCTACAAAACACCTGTTGTCCGAGTAGCATGGTAATTAATATACATACATACAACTTGCAGCAGTCTGAGGTTGTATGGCTTCATATATATCAAACACCCTAGAGACTTTAAAATAGGAATAAAGGAGCTAATTTTGAAAGAGGATACTTCTACCTCCTGCAGTATGTGGGCACAGTAGGATTTGGGTTGGTGGAATCGGTTCCAGCTTGGTGTTCCCATAGTTATGCTATGACTAATGCTGTTGAAAGCATGTTTGGAAAGCCATAGTTAGTGTAAAAGACAATTGTCCTTTTGTACTTTTGAGATGAGTAAAAATTTTGTCTAAGAATTACAGTGTGGTTTCTACAAGTGATGATATAATTACATTTCTTATATTTAGTATGAGATGTGCTTGTACTGCCCTAACTCCTGAAAGTGATGGGTGTCCAGACTTAAATGGCATCTTCTGTTTTTCTTTACATCTGTTTTGATATTCAGGAGAGCTTAGGAATTTAAGATACTGTTATAAACGTTTATAAACTGAAAGCTTTGCAAAGCAATTTTTCTTTTTTTCTTCCATAAACTATTGTTAGCAGTAATTACTAGCAAATAAAAATTGTGACAGGTGAATAGAAGTTACTAACTGTATAGTGCCCAGAGTGCTGACTCATAAATGCATGTTTTTAGCCACTGTAGTGGCCTGAATCAGCAACAGAAGCATATCTTCTCACATTTTTCTACATAAGAGATAGGACTAGGGAGGCCTGTGGAGTCATCAACTCTGTTTTGCTTTGATGCTGGGCCAGTCTTCTTATTTTGTTCACATTCAGCAAGCTTCAGTTAACATTTGGCTGGGGCACCCCTCCCACTGCACCTCTTCGAAGGCTGGGCAGAGCCTCACTCTTCAGGCTGTTAGAAACCTCATTCCTGTCCTAAGTTTATTCTCAGACAGTTTACGCTCCTTTATTTTTGTGCCAATGCTGTCCCTAAATGGGAAGGTTCCTTCTCCACGTCTCTGCTCCTCTTCAGAGTATATTTCTAGAGAGCAATCACAGCCCCTTTTCACTCATGTTTGCTGAGCTTACTGGGGAGAGGTTCCCGACGGTGCTGGCCCCTGTGGCTGGTGCAGCACTGGGAAGGGATGTTGAGGCTGGCTCTGACCAAAGTCGTGCTGCAGCAGAAGCAAGGCAGCTGCATTCAAATCCTCTCCTGCCCAAGCTGGTCTGTTCTGCTTTCAGCAAACATGGCAGTCCAGTTTCTGGCTCTCACATCAGCCTGAATGTTTCCACCTGGAGCTATGCTGTGGACATGCCTTCTTCTGGTGAAGGAGGCTTTGTGCCATGCGTACCATCCCTTCGCTCTGCCTAACCAATCTGAATTTCTCTGGCTAGAATGTAACAGCAAAGGACTCTCAGGAATTTATCTTGCAACACTGATTTTTAAACTCCCAATAATCTTCTACTTATTGTTTTAGTATTTTGTATTCATACCAGCCAGGGGAACCTGAATGGGCTTGAGCCAATGCTGTATCAGGGACTGTCATCTATGAGGAATAAATGTGAAAGTTGGCCACAATGCTTTTTAAAATATCTTTTCCTTATTAGTTTCTTCCCAGGTTGCTTATATCTTAGCTCTCTAGTCTTCTAAAGCAGTTTATTTTTCTTTTACAGTGTAATTCTTCCTATTTTCTTCAATCCCTGCATTGTGGGTTTCAAAAGATGAAAAGATAAAAAAGCTTAATACTGTTTAAAGTGTGGGATTGTAAAGACTGATAGGTCTGCCCTCAGATGAATGTTTTTAACTTCCCTTGGTCTTCTTAGACGATGCGCTGCTCTGTCAAATTCTGGAGCTGAATCCTTTATGTTTTAAATACTCACAGAATTTCTGAACAGAAGGCTAAAGATGACTATTCCCTGATGAAAAATTATGTAATCTGTGACACTGTCTACATAGTCATCCAGTTTGTAGCTTCCTTAAACTCAGATCCAGACTGACAGAAGAAAACAAAATGCTACTTTTAAATGGTATGAAGGTTAGAATGTAACATTTTCACCTTTGTTAAGGTACCAATATTATTTTACGATCTCTGAACAATTACCAGAGTGAAATGACTTGAAGATTCTTGTTTTGCATATACACACGTTAGAATAGTTTGTACCATTTTTTTTTCTTGTCTTTACTCTTTCCTATTTTGAAATGACACTCTAATCTCCATAATGTACTTAATGCTTTAAAAGCATTTATACTGTGGCTTTGGAAGTATTTTCTGAGAAAATTAATTTTTGCACAATGAAGTGTGATTTTCCATCTCAATGAATCAAGTAGACCTTCAAATGATTAAGTAAATCTCAGGTTGCTTAGTATGAATACAATTAATTTGTTTTTATCATTGTGATATTTTGGGATAAAAAGATAGGTAGATGAATAGATAGAATCATATAGATAGATATTTTTAGTGATGTTTTTAGTGTGATAGAGAATTAACAGAAATCTTATGTTAATTAATTATCCTTTAGGGCTTAACCAACACTTTTGTTTAAGAACAAACAGTTTTACTTTCTCTGTATAGTACCACCAATGTTATCTACCGCCACTTGACAAAAGCTACAGAGTTAAATTGCCTCCATGGTACTCCTCCATGTGCCTCCCCAGCGTCCAGCCCAGGCTCCTTGCATGCTGGCTGGCCTGCCAGCATGTCAGGGCTCAACCATTCTGCAGTTGCATTTCAGTTTCAGGAACAGAGTCTTTTCCTCTGGTGTAGTTCCTTCATGGTTATAGTAGTAAACATAATAATTTCTACTCTGACTTGGCTGGTAGAGGTTTGAAGAAGCAGAGGTGGATTTCATATGAGTGATGACCAACAGTGGGTATGAACATGGTGGAATATGAATGACACTCCCCAGGCTCTTTATGTTTCCTTTGCACACTCGTGAGTCTTTTTCCCAAAATACCCAAAGCTCTGATTAAACTTGGTTTACATCAGTGGCCCTTCCCAGGTGGCCTTCTCCTGATGTCAGTG